CCCTGCCTCTGCACTCCACCACACTCACCCTTCAAGGTGCAGCTAACTGGAGTTTTTCTTCTGGAAGTCTTCTGGAATCCCACAGTCAGGCTGCCTCTACTTCTTGGAGCAATTGTCTTTTTTTTTTAAATCACAATATTTATCACACAGTGTTGTAATTTTGCGTCACCATTTGTCTGAGCAGACTGTGAGCCATCGCTTGTGCGCCAAGGCCATTTTTCATCTTGCAGGCTACTTTTATTTTATTTTGTTTTATTTTATTTTACTGTATTTTATTTTTAAAAGTGTATTTATTTATTTTTGAGAGAAAGAGAGAGAGCGTGCATGCATGCAAGCAGGGGGAGGGGCAGAGAGAGAGGAGAGAGAACATTCCTTTAAAAAAAAAACTTTTTAAGTCAAAAAATTGTTTTATTCTCAAGTTAGTTAACATACAGTGTAGTCTTGGCTTCACGAACAGAACCCAGTGATTCATCTCTTACATATGGCACCCAGTGCTTTTCCGGAAAAGTGCCCTCCTTAATGCCCGTCACCCATTTAATACCTCCCTGCAATGCCCATGAGCTCTCAGTTTGTTCTCTGTATTTAACAGTGTCTTGTGGTTTGTCTCTCTCTCTCTGTTTTTATCTTCTTTTTCCTTCCCTTCCCCTCTGTTCATCTGTGAGTTTCTCAAATTCCACGTATGAGTGAAATCATATGAAATCTGTCTCTCTCTGACTGACTTATTTCAAGAGAGAACATCCTAAGCAGACTCTGTTGTCAGCACAGAGCCCGAGGAGCTCGAACCAAACCACAGAGCACGAACCAAACCGTGAGATCATGACCTGGGCTGAAATCAAGAGTTGGACACTTAACCATCTGAGTCACTCAGGTGCCCCTATCTTGCAGGCTACTTTTTTAAAAAACTTTTTTGTTTGCTTATTTATTTATTTTGAGAGAGAGCAAGCAGGGGAGGGGCAGAGAGAGAGAGAGAGAGAGAATTCCAGGCAGGCTCCATGCTGTCAGCACAGAGCCCGAGGTGAGACTCGAACCCACAAACCATGAGATCATGCCTGAGCTGAAACCAAGAGTCAGACACTCAACCTACTGAGCCACCCAGGTGCCCCTGGCAGGCTACTTTTAAAAATTAAATTAATCAATGTGATATGGGTGGAGGCACTATTGTATGCTTAGTGTATAATAACTATGCAATAAAAATGTATTAACTTAATGATGCATGACTAGGCTGTTGCCTTCTGACATCTCATACTTTTCTTTGAGCCCTAGTTATTCTAGCTCTACTAACAAATGGCCTCCAGTCTGATCACATCTGCTTTGGTTGAGTTTGTCAAATCATGCATCCGTTCCTACAGTAATGTCGCTGACCCTTTGTTGTGCATTGTTTTCAGCAAATGCAACTATACACGGAAATATAAGGTAGAGGAAATCACTGCATTAGAAATTTCTCTAATTGCATATTAGATGGCAAAGCCATCTGACTTGTGACCGTAAAACCTGGCTGCTCTGCTGGGTCTGTAGACATGTTGACAGCAGTGAGGAAAACGAGAACCTTCTGCATCAGATCTTTACTAGGAGGCCACATATAGTGAATGGATCTCAAGGCACCAGAAAGCATCCCATAAACCAGCACGCTCCCGTGGCAACATTGGCACTATTAAGTGTTTCTTGCTATTGCTGTTGGTGGTGGAGGTGGTTCTTGTTGTTGTTTTTTGCCAAACCTTATTTTTCTCCTTTTTTACTCTCCTCGCCCTTCTTAGGTGGAGTGAAGGCAGAAGTCCTTCTTGTCCTTCCCACCCTGTTCTGGGATGTGCTGCGGGCTGGACACAGTCAGAAGGAATGCCTTAATGATATTTAACTTCCGTAAGGTCCAGAATTTGGTTGGTTTTTTTGGCTTCCCACTTTTGGTGTTAAATCTTTACATCCCAGCACAGGCATACTGGATATTGTGCCGTGTAACTTGGTTCTGTACTTTGTGGTCGATCCTTGCACCTAAGAACTTCGCTACAGTGCCTTGGATTTAGGCAAATGTTGATTCTGTTATGAAGTTCTCTTTCATCCCAATGCAAGATTTGGACCAACTACTTTTCTATTAGATAATTTCAGGTCAGAAGGAATCAGCATCTAATCAAACTGTCTATTTATACGATAATGGGCAGACCTGTCTGAATTTCTTTCCATAGCTACTCTTTTGGCTGGACCTAGACTTTGTTATGTCTCGAATTTACTCTTGTAGTTCCAGTCTGAAAAACAAAATGAACAAAGAAACACACACACACACACACACACACATGCACGCACACACACACACACACCCCACAGTATTTCTTCTTCTGCTTATTATCACATCGCCCATTTTCACGTAGAAATCTTCTCTGTCTCTGTCTCTGCCGATCAGCTTCGTCCTCTAAAGCCATTTCCAGCATTTCCCTTCTATAATGCAGAACAGAGATCTTTGAACTAATCTCTCTTTGGAACTGGATTTTGAAGGTTTTCAACAAGAGTTTGGCTGAATTGGAATATCTTTTCCAAGTTATGCTGATTTTTTTTTTTTTTTTTTTTTGGTATAATAGAGTGGTTTCAAATACAGACTCTGGAGTCAGAATATTTGGGTTTGGATCTCAGTTCTTCCACTTACTGTGTGTACACAAGCATACTATTGACTTCTGTGCTTCTGCTTATGAATCTGTAAGATGAGGATAACAATAGCACCTACCTCACAGGGTTATTGTGAGGACCGAATGCGGTAGTATAATCAAAGCCTTCGGATTAGTGCCTGATACATAATACTAACATAATACCTGTTGACTGTTATTATTTTTACGTAGCAATCTTCTCAGTGTTTCTGTCTTCAGTTGCAGGGGGATTGAGATAAAGTAGAGAGCTCCTGGAGCTGCTGAATTTTTACCTAATAATATTGATCTGGTGTTTTTTGTTTTTTGTTTTTTGTTTTTTGTTTTTAATTTCCTGTCCGCAGCTCTTTATTTACTCTTTTGGTTCATCATTATGTCTTCAGGGTCCAGCACTGAAGTCTGACACATAGTGAGCACTTCATCATTTGCATAATGAATGAATGGATTCTTTCTGACTGTACTCTCTGAGATGGCCTACCACTGTCCAGGATCTGTCACGCATTGTTTTGGCCTCACTGGATCTGGTCTGGGTTGAAATGTCCTCTTCTTCTAAATATTTATTTATTTAGAGAGAGAGAGAGCAAGCTAGAGAGGGGGAGAGAGAGAGAGGGAGAGAGAAATCCCAAGCAGGCTCTAACTGTCAATCAAGGAGCCTGACGCAGGGCTCGAACTCACAAACCGTGAGATCACGACCTGAGCCGAAACCAAGAATCAGATGTTCAACTGACTGGGCCACCCAGATGCCCCTGAAATGTCCTCTTCTTAATTCAGGGTTCTTACCACAGGAAAATCCAATGTCGTGGCGTGAGTCCTGTAAACTATACCTTAACGCGAACATTCTGTGTCTGCAAGCTCTTCTGTGCCTAATCGGGGAGGCCCCTTGCACAAGAGGGGTCTCTTCCTTCTATACAGCGTATACCTGAAAGTAGAGTCCCCACTTGGGCAGTCATGACACCATCACCACCATTAGGCCCGGTAACAGCATTCAGGATATAACTGTCAAATCATTTCAGCTATTTTTGCTTGGCAAGAAAAGGAGCCTGAATGCTGCCCATTGTCCCCAATTTTCTCTTTGTGTTCTGGCCTAAAGGGACCTGCTGATTGACATTGGCCATGTCTTATTGGTTTCAAAAGTGCTGTCTTTTAGCCGTTTCCATTCATGAGTTTTCTTTTTTTTTTTTTTGAGTTTTTATTTATTTTTGACAGAGAGAGTGAGCGAGCGCAAGCTGGGGAGGGGCAGAAGGAGAGGAAGACACAGAATCTGAAGGAGGCTCCCGGCTGTCAGCACACAGCCCGATGCGGGGCTCAAACTCACAAACCATGAGATCGTGACCTGAGCCAAAGTCGGATGCTTAACCAACTGAGCCACCCGGGAGCCCCTCCATTTCATGAGTTTTAACTGTTACCTTTACTGATGTGCCCAGCACGATTTTATCACTAGGACAGGACCTTTGGCAAGCAACTTAGCCATTTGGGACTTGGCTTTCTTTTCTGTAAATTGAGAAGAATTGGCCTATACCACCTCCTTGGTCTGTTCTAGCACTGAGTTTCCACAAGTAAAAACTAAAGTCATGGGCAAGCAAAAGGCAATGTTAATGACCTCCTACTTGACTACTAAGTGATTTCTGTGCTCAGAAAGGGTTTGAAAATTCACCTCCTCAAAGGAGATTGGCAGTTTCTCCTAGCCTGGTTACAAGCCATCTTCTCAAAACATTGAACGCTCCTTCTCCTGCTTTAGAAACTAATATTTCCTGATGTTTTCTCCTGGCAATTAGTGCCTGAATACTGTACTGTGCGATGTACGTAGTGGACAGGATGGTTTTCCAAAGAGGGAATTTGTTCTTGTAAGTTCCCACATCTCCTATGCTTCCTTTGTCTCTCTGATTGGATTACTCTAGTCTTGTTGCCTTCCTGCCTCTGGGCCTTTACACACCCTCCCCTGTGCCTGAATTATTCTCTCCTGTGCGTCTTCCCCAAATGCCCTTTATCCTTTCTTCATGCTCCCATACTACTGGTTCCTTCTCATTTTTCAGATTTTAATTTAAACGTCATTCTTCAAAAGAGCCTTCCCTGACCATCCAGTTGAAAGTAGGCCATTCCTGTAAATCCTTTATCATAGAGTCCCCGGCATTACAAACACAGATTTACTTGTACCTTGTAATTTGTAACTTTATGTTAGTTTCTTTATTTATCATCTGCGTCTCCTATGGAACTGTAAGCTCTGTGATGACAGAGACCAACTATTATTTATTTGCCAGTGCACATCTATGCCCAGAACATTATACCTGCTCAATAAGTGTTTATTGAATGGGTAGAAAAGTATTATTACAGCCTTTTCAATAATATAACCTGTATTTTCTGTTGATTTATTAGATTTCATGTGCTTCATCAGCTAGAGAGATGAAAACGATCACCAGGATGAAAAGAACATTTTATGGGGTAAGTATTTCAAATCATTGTTTTTGAATACTGTACTTTGTTTTTTAAAATGTGAAAATTTCTGCTTTCATATCTCTATTTTATCTGCAGATTGGAAACAAAGGAATCTACAAAGCTGTCAGTGAACTGGATATTCTTCTTTCCTGGATTAAACAATTCCTGGAAAGCATTAAGTAATGCAAGAAGCCAAGTGCATGGATTTGATTGTTATTTTGGAATATAATGAGAACCACTGGAAATAAATTTATAAGACTGTATTGCTTTTAAAAAACTTTTGTACATGGTACTGATACCAAGTTAGATGGCTAGGTAAATTTAACATGATAAAGTTTTGGAGATCCATAAATGATCTCTAATATGTACATTTTCTATATTTTCAAAGAATACTTTCATCCTGAACATGTTTTATTATCCCCAAGTACACTTAATTTAAAGCTGCATAATCAGAATTAACTCATGTAATATTTGTGGAGGAAAAGTGACAGCTTTCTGGAATACGATATAATGTTATCGAGACTTCCATAGATGCTATTGTGATTATTATCTACTTAAGGGTTTTTATGACTTTTAATTATGTCTGGTGTGAACTTAGCTCCCAACAGATCTTTTATGTTAATAAGTAAACTGTTCGTCTTTCTCCTGAATGTCCTTTCTATGACAGCGTGCTGGAATTTTATTGAGTACAGTGGGTAACAACCGGATCAGATCAAATGGGACAGACATGTAAACTAACTGCTTGGAATGGTTTAACGTGAAGCCTCAAAGACCACAAGCTACCAACCTGAGATGCTGTCAGAGATTGGTCATGCTCCTCCCAGGTGCTGTACAGTTAGGAAAGTCGATGGAGGTCAAATAAAAGCCTCAATGCAGCTGAAATTCCTCTACAGGAAACTTTTCAGGGCTTAAAAGCCTCACTTGCCCAGCTAGCCCTTCAGTTAAATGAATAATATGGCTGGGCCTTTGTTTTTGCCTTACATGGACTCGGCTTCTCACCTAGAGGCCTGCAAGACCCGGGCCATTTCAGCGAGCAGTTTGTGCGATGGCCGGTTCACTTCTGCAAAGTGTTCCTCGTGCCGCCGAGGCACACAGACAACACTGTGACTTGGTGTTTTGTGATATGAATAGGCAGGGCCTCCTCCAGGTCCGTATGGATTTGGTCCTTGGCCCCTCTTCTCTTTATTGCTTTCCCACCATCCAGTTCTTCTTTTCAATCATATGCTGATTATTCTATTTGCCAGGGACTAGCCTCTCTCGATCTAGCTCATTTTCCAAAATCACTTCTTTGTCCCCTGCCACTCCTCCTCTCTGCTTTCCCCATCCACACCTTGTGGTCCCATGTTTTATCTCCATTAAGACCCCCCCAGAGAGGTGAAGTTGTGGAGAAAAGAAGGAAATGGAAAGGGGGAGCCTGGAGGACTCTCTTCATCTTGCGCTGTTGACCTAGGGCTTCCCGTTACCTGTCACAACACAACACTATTACAATACCGTTGGCTATAGGCCCTATGCTGTACCTTTCATTCCTCTGACTTATTTGTTCCATACTTGGAAGCCTGTACCTCCCCACTCCCCTTCCTCTTTTTTGCCCCACCCCACAACCTTGGCAACCATCAGTTTGTACTCCGTATTTAGTTATGGGTCTGTTTTGGGCACCCTACTTTCTTTGAGGAACGTTTGGAAGAGATGGGATCCTGGCGATGAGGAACATGCTCCCTGGCTTTGCCATGGACTTGAGAGGAGGTGGTGTACCCATGGCCTGTCATTACCCCACTTTTAGAAGCTGCCCCTCGTGCCTCAGTTTGACCACGCTGTCCTTCCACAGAGCCCGGGGTCTCCAGTCTTGGTTGCAAACCATGCCTAACCTGCCGCATTGCTTATGGACTCCAGACATCAGCGGGGCTATGAAATATTCATTTGCTGGTCAGCAAACCCGAGGTCCTGAAGGAAACAATTTCACTCGTGCTCCCCAATATTTTTGGTGATTGAATTCAATGTGTTTGTTTATTTCCCAAAATCATTCATTTGCCCAGAATAGTCAAAAGGCTGCTAAACTCAGTCAGAAGCACTATAGGACTCTAAAGGTCATCACCCAGTAAGAAACCAATATCCATGTCTCAATGCCTATTCACAAGCAAACTTTCTCAAATGCTAAGGAAAAAGCATGGTTTTAGTGTGTTTGAGTAGAGACTGGACTATTGAAAAGGCAAGAAGAGAGAAGCTGGTGTCCCGAGGCACAGTGAGATAAAGTGTTTGGTGGGGCCACTGGGTTTTGGATGAAGCCTTCCCTTCGGTTTATAGGTCCTACTCTGGACTTTATCAGAACCAGAGACGGTTACATTTTGGGAAATGGACACATACCCCCAAACACCCGCAAAGTGCTCTATGAACCCTAAAGCCATTTAGTATTTATAGATGGAGATTCCTTCCGAGAGGTCCCTCCTATATTATACCCAGGAAACTAAATTTCCTATGAAAACATTGTGTAGGTCAGCATATCATTAGAGCTGAAGGAGCTGAGCCTGCTCTTAGCACAGGTAGAACCGAAGGAGCCCGAAGACCGGTGAACAGCACGGAGTGGTAGGAAGAGGCCACAGTGGGGTTAAGAGACCTGACTAGTCTTGGGGCACCTGGGTGGCTCAGTTGGTTAAGCGTCCGACTTTGGCTCAGGTCATGATCTCTGTTTGTGAGTTGGAGCCCTGCACTGGTCTCTATGCTGACAGATCAGAGCCTAGAGCCTGCTTTGGATTCTGTCTCCTTCTCTCTCTGCCCCTCCCCACTTGTGCTCTGTCTCCCTTCAGGCCTCTGCCCACATCATCAGAGGGTCACTCATACAAAGTATCAACCCCTTCCAGAGCCACCCTTTCACCCCTCATCACCCCACTGACGGACACACTTACATTGACTTGTTTATTGGCTGTCTCCACCATATCAGAATAGAAGCTGTGCGGGGCAAGGTTTTGTCTGTTTTGTTCCCTGTAGAATCCCCAGCACCCAGTACAGGGCCCGAATATAGGACGCTACCTAAGCATGTGGTAAATGTATGGACCCAGGAGGGAATAGATTGAGGCTTTGGTCCTGCTGCTCTTAGGATGTGTGGCCAATGTCAGGTCACTTCACTATTGGGCCTCCATTTCTGGATTGGTCCTGATTGAAATTAACTGCCACAGGTGATCTATACAGATATTTGCATACTGAGGGGCTGGATTGTCCCTTAGTCCAGGTACACTGCTCTGTCTGGGTCTCACGCACCCTCCTCTCTTCCCACCGCCTGCCTTCAGTACCACCTGCAAGCTCGGGTTGCCTGGTTAACTCCTTCTGATCCTTTAAGATTTCATTCAAACATTATTCTACTGTTAATGGTTTCATATATGCTTTACTTCTTCACAGAACCTATCATAATTATAATTCCTCTGTATATTTCATATCTGTTTCACTCATTAGACTATCTCCGGTTCGCTGTAGTTCTTCTGCCCAAACCCTAATAAACAGTAAGTGCCCAATAAATATTTGTTGAATGAATAAGTGAATAAAGTATTGAATTGAATTAGATAGCCTCCAAGGTTTCTTCTGGCTCTGGCACATCTCCTGCCGTAATTTTTACTGGTCGGTATGAATCTTGAGGAATGTAATGTAACAGTGGTTCTCCTCTAAGAATACCTGTGCTATTATTTGCATGACAATGGATTTAAATCAACATATACGTTTACTTGCCCCCAGTAAAAGGTAACTGTTAATACACATATGGCTCTTAAAATAGGTTGCTAAACTTAAACAGATAAATTCTTTTTTTTAAAATTTTTTTTTTTAATGTTTATATTTGAGACAGAGAGAGACAGAGCATGAACGGGGGAGGGTCACAGAGAGAGGGAGACACAGAATCTGAAACAGGCTCCAGGCTCTGAGCTGTCAGCACAGAGCCCGACGCGGGGCTCGAACCCGCGGACCGTGAGATCATGACCTGAGCCGAAGTCGGCCGCTTAACCGACCGAGCCACCCAGGTGCCCCTTAAACAGATAAATTCTTAACTAAAACACGTTCATTTGCGTACCACATAGAATCATCTTGCAAACCCTGGGTGGAATGTGTCTTACACATTGGGAAACACTGCATTATAATGAATTTCCACTACCTCATTCTGGTCCAGCTTAGAAAATAGAACTTGATCATTTTAACCTGCCCACAGATAACATGCAAAAAAAAAAAAAGTCAAGCCACGATGTTCAGGTTTCAAACTGGTTTCAGACCTCTTGTCATTGTTTCCAGAGATGAAGGTACGGAAGCACATGCACCCAGTCAGTCATTCCACGGTACTTATGACTGACGCTCTTGACAGAGGATCCTGGGATGGCAGTGTGGCCCTCGTCCTTCCTTCGGCAGCCCTCTAGGAGAGCACTGTCTTCCCAGGCAGGCCATGGTTGATGCAGCTTCCCAGGGAAGAAGGCTGTGAGAGTCACTGTCCTTCCTGTTAGGGAGTCTTCTGGAACGGTCAGATGTATACACGATGGTAGTAACAAAAAGTGAAAGTTCAGTCAGGCTGAGCAGAAAGTCTCAAAGGTTGATGTGGAACTGTGCCGTGAATTACTACACATGAGAAGGATTCATTAAAAATGGAGTCCTTCACCAGGGCTGTGAGTTATTAGCTAAAATGAAAACCAATCAATTCTATGGATATTGATTGTATGTGTACTATGTGCTTGTCATGCAGTCATGGCTAAGCTAATAATGATAAATAAAACTCACAGTTTCTCTAGCAAGTTAGGACCTAGGAAGGGAGATAGGAAGATAAATATACGGTGAAATGTAAGCAAAATGGAGAAATATACAGAGTGCATGGGGTGGAGGGCAAGACTCACTCCACCGAGGAGGCAATATTTGGGGAGATTTTCTTCGAGACTCAGCTCAGCTGTGTCACCTCTTCCAGAAAGCCTTCCTTGCTTGATTCCCTCTTCCCAGGCTGTACCCCTTGCACAGCATATTTTCAGAATAGCATTTAGCACATCAGATTGTAATTTTTTTGTTTGCTTGCTTATCTCTTTCTTAAAGGCACAGAGAGTGTCTTGTTCAGCATTGTGTCCTCAGTGCTTAACATGGTGCTTGTCGTGCAACAGATATTCAGGAAATGTTTTTGGAGTGAAACAATGGGGAAGCAAAATAGTGACAGTGAAGCTGGAAGAGAGGAAATGGATTTGGGAGATATTTAGGAGGTCAAACAGAAAGAACTTGGAGACCAACTGGTTGAGGGGGGATCAGTATTGAGGAAGCAGTCTAGGATGACTCTGGAGTTTTACATTTTCCACTGATGTGTAGTAAATGTGGCCTCAGAAAAATGCACTGTAATGAACTTCCGTCATCTTTTTTTAGCCTAACACAGAAATGCTTTGAAATTTGGACTTCACAGGAACATAGAACCTCCTAACTTGAAAGGACCAATCCAACTGTATTGTCCAATTTTGCATCTTATACCAGAATCTTCTTTATAACACTGCTCTCATACAGCACTTGCACTTAAAAGAGACAAAATACTTCC